AAAAAAAAAAAAAAAAAAAAACAGATACAAGGGAAGCCCTTCAACCTGGCAGCATCAGTTAAGTGTCTGTGCTCTAAGGAGCAGCCAGGGGCCCACCGTGTCCTCCAGCGGTTTGTATGGTTTAGAAAAACCAAAGCTGATTTCCGTTCCTCACTGAGGACTGCCACACTGCTGGCTCACTCGAGGAACGGTACACCTGCTTTGCTCCAAGTTTTTCTATTTGCAGCCTCAACCAACATCCAGAGTGTTTTGTTTTTTGTTGTTTTTTTTTTAAACAGCCAGTTCTCATTGGAACTCTTCGCGTTAATACAAAGCTCCCCAAGAGTTACAAACTTCATCACCTCCAAGTCAATGGCAGAATGGTGTTCAATTTGTTCTAAGTCTTAACTTGATCTGGAGCCATCGCTGGGCAGGTGCCTGCCTGTAAATCCTCCGCAGACCCCTCCCCCTTGCTCTCATGTAAAAAAAATTTTTTAATGTTTATTTATTTTTGAGAGAGAGAGAGAGAACGTGAGCAGGAGAGGGGCAGAGAGAGAGGGAGACACAGAAGCCGAGGCAGGCTCCCGGCTGTGAGCTGTCGGCACAGAGACCGATGTGGGGCTTGAACTCAACAACCTCAAGATGGCGACCTGAGCGGAAGTCGGACGTTGAACCGACTGAGCCACGCGGGCGTCCCTCTGTCATGTGGATTTTTAAAATGCTGTGTCTCTTGAAATAAACATGAGAGCAGAACACCTGCCCTAGTCTATCTTTAATGTGTACAGGGATGCTAACACTGATGAGAATGTATATTAAGTTGATACATGGCAAAGTAGTAATAGCCTAGTAAAGCATTTTTAGTTCCAAAGGCAGTGCTCCAAGAGTACGATGATTTAGTAATGTCCGCGAATTAAAATTAGCCACATGAAAATATGGGACACGTATGAAAAGGCAAGTCATAAACTCGGTCTCAAATGATCTGACTCTACATCTGAATTTGGCCACAGAGTACCAGAGACACTGCAGCTTTTGTGCTCCCTGCTGGGGGATTCCTGCTAGGTCATGTCACATTACTACTAAAAGGCTGTTCTGATAGTCAACCCTCATTGAGGAGGAGAACAAAAAATGCATTCACAGGATCCCCCAATCCATGCTTTGCATGGGGGTCGGATCATAATTAGGCTTGAGAGCAATTTGGAATGAAAAGGGATTTTTTTTTAAGAAGAAGCTTCCAGATTCAAAGGTTCATATCCCAAAAGGTTGATTCCAGAGTTTGTTTTCCAATTCCAGTAAAAGCAGAGAGCAAACAGCCTCCTCTCCCGTGGCCTCGGAAGGAGGCAGCGGCTGGAGACGGCACGGAAATGAAGACTCCATGTCTTGGTCACGGTGGTGGCGATGATAATGGCAAAGGCGGTAGATAGAGTCATGGTGGCAGCGGAGGTAGTTGGGGTGGCGGTGGTTTGGGAATACAAAACTTTGAGTACAAGGACACAGTACGACATCTCCCACAACAAGGTGGAAAAGGGACACCCCGTCATGCAACACTCCTGTTATCAAGGGAACCTTGTGCTTCCCCGTGCAATCCTTTTGCTAGATCCTTCCATGGGGAAGATGAGTGCACTCGCTGACACTCGTCCACGCAAACGACCCCAGTAGCCTGATCCGGTAGTAAGCCGATACTAACCACGCAGAATGGCTTCATTAACAAGGCTTTGCTTCTTCCGGGAAAGTGGTGACAAATCCACTCGTGTCGTGTAGACCTCGATGCGGCTTCTGTGTTGTCTTCACCTAGAAGTGGGGAAGGATTTCCCGAACGGCAGAGAGTCAGGCTCCTGTTCCCTGCACCTAGTGTCAAGTCTTTCTCTCTCTTTGTTTTCCAGGACACAATGTAGGAAGCCTTTTCCACTTGGCAGATGATTTGGGCAGAGCGATGGAGTCCTTAGTGTCAGTCATGACAGATGAAGAAGGGGCAGAATAAATGTTTTACAACTCCTGATTCCCGCATGGTTTTTATAATATTCATACAACAAAGAGGATTAGACAGTAAGAGTTTACAAGAAAAAAAAAATCTATATTTTTGTGAAGGGTAGTGGTACTATACTGTAGATTTCAGTAGTTTCTAAGTCTGTTATTGTTTTGTTAACAATGGCAGGTTTTACACGTCTATGCAATTGTACAAAAAAGTTATAAGAAAACTACATGTAAAATCTTGATAGCTAAATAACTTGCCATTTCTTTATATGGAACGCATTTTGGGTTGTTTAAAAATTTATAACAGTTATAAAGAAAGATTGTAAACTAAAGTGTGCTTTATAAAAAAAAAAGTTGTTTATAAAAACCCCTAAAAACAGACACACACACACACACACACACACACACACACACACACACACACACACTTGGAGGCAGCGCATTGTTTTGCATCGTTTTAGCGTGATATCCATATGAAATCCATGTTTTCTTTTCTTGCATATTAAAGATAGGACACTTCCTCTAACACCACCAGATGATTACTTCACAGTGCTCTTTTTGGAATCGCTGGCCGAGTGGGACTGGCTGTGGTTTTTCGCTTCCTGCATCTATATGTCTAGAAGTATGTAAATACTGTAGGGATATAGATAAATAGATCTGAATTTCTGGAGACCTTTGAAATTTCTTGTTCAAATGACCTGGCCACTTCCTAATGCAAAGAGATTGCCTCTGGTCCCGCAGGCTTACCTGCTTGGTCTAGAATGAATTCTCCCTGGAGCCTGAAACCAGGGGGCAGCTACCACACTGAAACACTGTCTGGGGCCCCAGATGTTTCTCATTTGCAACTTTCCACTGACAGCGACGGTACCGAATTTTTGCAAAGGGACATGTGAATGAATACACAGGACTTACTGTGTCCGAGTGATCCGTTAGCTGATACATTCAGCTTCCGGCCGCTGGCAAGGCCACCATCTACATTGAATGATGCTTCAGCGCAAGTCACGACATCAGAAGATATTTTTCACTCGCAGACAGTAGGCAATCCTTCTGGTAGGGCTGGAAGGCTGTGGATTGCCAGCCGATCCCTGCGAGGGAGGGAGGCCACTCTTGAAGTAAAGGGCTGGATGAATGTTCCTAACCACACTGAGAGATCTTGGTAAATACAACGAATTCCCTCTGCCCTCTTCCCACAAACAGCAGTGGTTATTTTAGGGGTTTTTTTCTTTTCTTTTCTTTTTTTTTTTTTTTTAAGGACTTTCCCCATTGCAGTGAGTTTTTAAATGCCACAAGACTTCATTTAAAATAACCCTCGGGAAAATGTGTAAGACAGCCTCATCACGGTGTGTTACTGTTAAATATCCACCCACAAGCCCATGAACTTGGTTGCCCTACTTCACATTTCTCTACAAGCAATTCCACGCAGGTTTGTAAGGGGGAACGGAGACGGATTCGCGTGTTCCGAAAAGTACTCCAAACCCTTGGCTGGTGGATGAGGAAGGTTAACGATACAAAGATTGTTCAAAAAGAATAACCCAAGAGGACTAACTGGTAGGAACAAGCTTTACTCTTTCGTGTTCTTAGCCTTTCATTTTTTTTTTTTTTAATCATTCATTCAATAGAAATCACCGTGTGACCTGTTATTTTGCAAATCTGTTACCTCTTAGGTCAAGTGTTAACTTTTGGGAAGTGGGTTTTGTGTATTATTTTATTAATGATAATTAACATCCAACATGGCTTCTCATGCTATTTCTACCTCACTTTGGTTTTGGGGTGTTCCTAATAATCGTGCACACATGCTTTCACCCACTTGTCTCCTGTGTCAACATTTTTCTCGATTTTTCCCCCCATTGTAACTTCCACAAGAAAACCCAAAGCTCTAAGGTAACAAAACGACCTGAAGATTCGGTTTTAGTCTTGCATTTTTTCCTTTATGTGACACTGGACTTTTTCCTTCACCCACAAGTTTGGTTTTTTTTGTTGGTGTGTTTGTTTAACCATGATTAAAAACAAGGGGTTGTGTTCCTTCCTGCTAAGCGGTTTTAAGTTTCCTTCTAAAAGCAGAGGTAAATAGAGTGCATAATTTTATTTTAATCTTTTTGTTTTATCTTTTAGACATTAGTTCTGGAGTGAGTCTGTCAAAATATTTGAATAAAAATTGAGAGCTTTACTGCTACATTTTAAGCATAATTTGGACATTACTTCGTGTTCTTTATAACCACCAAGTATTAAACTGTAAATCATAATGTAACTGAAGCATAAACATCATGTGGCATGTTCTGTCATTGTTTTCAGGTACTGGGTTCTTACTTGAGTATCATGATAGATTGTGTTTTAACACCAACACTGTAACATTTACTAATTATTTTTTTAAACTTCAGTTTTCCTGCATTTTCACAACATATCAGACTTCACCAAATATATGCCTTACTATTGTATTATATTACTGCTTTACTGTGTATCTCAATAAAGCACGCAGTTATGTTACAAAAAAAAAGTGTTGAGTGGGGTGCTTTGTTTTTCGTTGTTAAAGATGTAATACAGTCACATGGTTGACGAGTGAAAAAATCGAGAAAGCCAAATGGTGAAAATCCCCTATTCCCAAGCCATCCACACTGGCCTGTGAGTGAATGTTGCTTTCTTGTGTATCCTTCCACACTACCATTATCGAGAAAGCAGTTAGCAAAGATCTGTGCCTCCTTATGTTTTTTTACCGCACCTAAGATCGCTTTCTATGCACCCAGTTATATACCTTGCTTTTATGGGCTCAAGAGAGCCAGCCACTCTTAATTATATTGAAACAATTTTTTCCGTTTCAATATATCAAATGCTTTCTCTTTTTTTTTTTTTATAGGTGTCTAATAATATCCCAGTGTATGTTAGTGGGATAGTATTTAGGCTGTCCTCTTTGGGAGGATATGTGGGTTGTTTCCAGTCTTTTCCTGTGACACAGAGTCCTCTACATCTTCCATTTCATCAGGACACCTGCGCAAAACTTGGGCCGGGGGACACATTCCTGTAGCTGAGATTTCTCGATCAAAGGAGGCATTTGCTTCTCACGACACTTCCTCACAGCTGAAGGGCAGTCTGAGCGACGGGGGTCCCACCGAAAAGGGTACCTCAGAACTGGTTCTGGGGAGGATAGCCCTCCTACGCCCAAGTCACGATCACCACAGAAGGAGATCCCCTCACCCCTGCCCCGACTGCAGAGGAGGCTAGTGAAAGGAGTAGGGTCCCTTTTGCCTCTGACCAAGATTCCCGGAGCGCAGTTCCCCAGCAGTGTTCACATGGCAGACAGAGGTCCAGAGACATTGCAAAGCACACTCTGGACGTAAGAGGAGATGGTCGAGCTTATTAAGAATGATACCAAGAGAGGGGCGCCCGGATGGCCCAGTTGGTTGAGCGTCTGACCCTTGATCTTGGCTCAGGTCACGACCTCACAGGTTGTGGGTTCAAGCCCCACGTCGGGCTCTGCACTAACAGCACAGAGCCTGCTTGGGGTTCTGCCTCTCCCTTGCTCTCTGCCCCTCCTCCGCTCGCAAGCGCTCCGTCTCTCTCAAAGTACGTAAATAAACTTTAAAAAATAAAAGGGACGATACCGAGTAAGTATGGCATCTCTGATAGGAATCGCTGCTCAGTTTCTCCAGGTGGGTTGATGACACCGGCCTGAAGGCCACATACACCGAGACTAATTTTCACCATATTGCCATCAATCGTTTATCCCTCCCACCATAACCTCCCCAAACCTGCGTCGGTTTCAGAGACTGGCTGTTTTGATGGACGACTGCACAGGGGGGACTGTGAGGAGGGCGTTTGGCTCTCCGCTCTCAGCTGGGCACAGGCTGGCGGAGAGGGAATCGTTTCGCTTACAATGCAGAATGGATCACGCTGGTGCAGATCGTGCGCAAGCAAGCAAAATGTGTGTTTGGGGGAAAGTACCAAGACGAGTGGCTGGCTGTCTTCTGTGGAGCCGAGCTGGGATCTCCCTGATTTTGCAATCCTCTGACAGGGGAACGAATACACGAACCGGCGCGGTGCACGTGCAAAGACCTCCCTTCCGATGAAGGGTAGCAAGGTCGTGCCTCGGATTCTTTCCCACGGTAGCAAAGCCCCCAGAGTGGGAACCACAAACACATTCTCCATCACTCCTTGGGCAGCAGGTGCTGGGAGCTCATGAACTCCCTTGATAACCTGTGAGCAGCAACACATCTGAGTTTCCATACGAAACAATATCCTGTGAGTGTGGGAAGGGGGGGGGGGGATGTCCGAGTGTGGCTTTCATAGGCAGCAAAGATTACGTAGAGTAACACGAGGCTTCAGTTCTCTACCTGTACGTATGTATGTGCATCTGCGTTATTTTACACACACACACACACACACACACACACACACACACACGGGATCAAGTTTCAGCCCTTCCAGGACTATTCTAACTCAAGCTAAAAGAAACATGACAAGAATAGCGCCAAGAACCCCTATCTCCCCTTTATCCCAATTCGACAACTGTTTACACATTGCACCATTGACTTTCTCCTTCCATATATAGTCTGTTTGCCTCCTGAACCATTTTGAGAGTTACGTTTCAAGCATCATGCCCCTTTATGCTTAAATACTTCATGTGAAGTTTCTGAGAACTAGAACATGCTCTTGCATAAGCACCTTATCATTATCAGAATAAAGAAACTTCACACATTCAACAAAGATACCATCTACACAGCCATATTCAACTGCTGTCAGTTTGCAATGTCTTTTGTTAGTTGTGCGTGTTTCCCTGATCTGGTCTAGGATCTAAGTCACGATCTTGTGACATTTAGTCAGGTCTCCTTAATCTTTGATGGGGAATGGTTTCTCCGCCTTTCTTTGGTTTTTGTTGTTTTTTTTTTTAATTTTTATTATGTTTATGTATTTATTTTTTGAGAGAGGGAGGGAGAGAGAGAGAGAGAGAAAGCAAGAGACCGAGCCAGGGAGGGGTAGAGACAGACCGAGAGAGAGAATCCCAAGCAGGCTCCA